ACATGAAGACAGGAATTCATGTTTGAACCACCACATCCACCTTTCTGGGTAGAGATGTTTTTTTCTTCTGGTAAGGTGCTAACAGATGAAAACAGCAAGAGCAAGAGGATGAATTAATGCTGAGCTCTGGCCCTCACAGAGACTTCCCTGGAGATACAGTCTTCTGCCCCACAGCTTTTGTCAGGGACAAGGAGATGTTCCCTTGACTGGAGGTGCGTGCTTTTTATCGGCATGTGTATGGAGCAGCACAGTCAGCAATGCGAGCCATATGGTAGCAAACCCTCCTCTTGCCTGGATCTTCTTCTACTGTGTGTCTATCAGAAACCACTGCCACTGCAGCCAGCAGCAGCGTGGTACCCTCAGGGACAGCACACTGGATTTGAATAACACTGGGCTCAGGACCAAGTTCTGCATCTCAAAATAAACCACCCAAACTGTGCTCCTGGCTGGTTTGAAAAGCACCCATCTACTCATCCCTCCCTTCAGCTCTGCCTTCCTTTCAGGGCATTACATTTCATCACTGATTTCATCACTGCTACCTCACTTGTATCCTTAAGGTAAGCTAGCAGCTTCCCCCTGCATGCGGAGGTCCTGGGGCAAGAGCAGGCCCTTTGCACAAACCTATGGTAGTACAAGCATGACTGTGATGGACTGGCTGCATCTGCATGCCCCAGATTGTAGATTACTTCCAAACATGACAGTCAGCTGAGGTGCCCAACACTACCCTGCTCCCAACAGGGGCCAAAAGAGCAGTTTTGGGAAGAGCTGTCTGAGAACATCCAATACTCCTACAGGAACAGGCTAAGTGCAGCGTAACAACAGAACAACAACACACCATCAAGAAAATCACATCTTTTGTGGTGTTGGAAACAAATGAGTGGGTAGCTGAAACCCAGAGAGACTCTTCATCAGAAGTAACCTAGCCTGAACCTCCCAGAGGAGGCAAAAGCTGTGCTTTGCCCTTGCCACGAGTTGCTTGGGGTCCATTCACCACTGCAGCAAACCCAAGGGAAGTCCCAGCTAGGCACCTGTGTTTTGGGCTGTTTCCTCCATTTGTGGGTGCAGGGCAATGGCAGTACCCGCACACCAAGGTGGTTGCTCTGACCTTCCAGCCTGCAGGCTGTTTCAGTTGCATTCATGCTTTGCAATAAATAAACCATCTGGAATCTGCCCCTGCAATGGTGTGATGACAGCAAAACACATGTGTAGCAGTCAGCATGAGCATCCCTTCCCAGCACTGTACGTCAGGCTGCATGCTTTCTGATTGCATCCCAGCCTGCTGCCTCTCCGCCGGGAGCCAGCTGCTCTCATGTGCACCCCGTGAAGATGCTGGCAACAGCAGCTGCTCTCGATCACTCTTGATGGGAGCCTTGCATAGTTCCTTATTCTTCACCCCAGGCACAAGGTATGCTTGTTGGAGATGCCATGACATGCAGCACTACAGAGCTGGGGATCTTTCCAGATGCCCTGCAATTGGTGCAGCGACTGTGCCACCTTGTGCCAGCAACATTTACAAATGCGTTCCAATCTCCTGCCTCTCGGATTTTAATCCCACGGTGCTCTCACTCTGACTTTTCCCTTATGAGGCCAACCAGGGCTCTGCATCTCCTCTTCAGCATGGTCCTTTACTTCCTCCCAGTAAATAGGGTCCATCCGAGGGTGCACCCTGACCATCGGTGATTGAAGCTCCTAGCCTGCGGGCTCTGTGCTGCAGATCATTCGGTCCAGCTCTCATTTCCACTCTGCCTGTTGCAAATCAGGAAGTTCCACTGACTCCAGCTGATGCTGGTGTAAATGAGAGACACAGAATACAGCAATCTGGCTGTACTAATAAAAACAAGGACATCTTACAACTGAACCATGTTAGGAGCTATTTGGATTTTTTTCAAATATGTGTTTTTATTCAGCCAGATGCAACATGGCCTATATGGGAAAAAGAAATACAGGATTTCAGGGTTGGAAACTTTGACCTAGGTCTGAACAGATTCAAAGAGCTTAATCTCCTTAAACTCACAAGAAAACATCCAAGTGTAATATGGGTATAGTGAGCAGATTCTTCACAGAAGCTGTGGCATACCGTACAGTTCTGTCATCTGACAAAGAAAAGTAGGAAAATGACTAGAGGCTACAAGCCAAGGCCAAACAACTTCTACCTAGAAGCTGTGCTCACATGTTCACCCTTGAGGCAATTAACCGCTGGGATATACCCTCACTGGATATGGCAGGTTGGTCACTGCTTCCACTCAAGGGCAGTTGGACTTTGGTGAAACCTGAGGGCCTGTGCTCAACAGACACACAAATCCTAATGTCCCTCGTGGCCTACAGGCTTCCAGAGGCAGTCTAAAGGCATTAAACTATGAATCCTCTTTGGGTTTACATTTTACAAATCCAGGAGTGCTGTATGACATTGTCATGCTAATGCAAGCTGCATCTATCCCAGTTGTCCTGGAGAGCTCTGCATGGGAGCTCGGACTGGCCAGAGGGCAGCTGCTGTGCTGGCGAGATAAGAGATGGGAGACGTTTCAGCAAGAGAAAGCTGTGAGATGCATGAGCAACTGCCAGGAGCAGAAATCAGCTCACGGGTGCACACGTCTGTCTCCACTCTATATCAGACACTCAGAAGGTGGATCTGAATTCCCTCATGTAAAATGCTTCTGTTTAAAGTTTGGCCCTCCTGGGCCACCTCAAAGCTGGTGAATCCAATGGCAAGACCCGCTCAGGGAGAAAAAAGTCAAACACAAATTGTACAAAGACAAAGATATATGTAAGCAAGGCAAAAAACACAAGTCAGGGTTTACTCCCACTATAATCTTGCTCTGCTGGGAGATCCTGGGTCTCACCGCCGATGAAGAAGGACCTCAGCAGAGCCCTGCACCCTCCACATGACAGATTGCAATTGTTTGTGCCACATTAAGGGGGTTTTCAGTTGAAAGCCATGGAGGACCTTTTTTTTCTTTTTTCTTTTTTCTTTTTTAAAGCAAAACAAGATACCTCACACATTCCCTCTTCTCTCACGAGCTTTTCACTGCACTGAGTAGGCACCCAAGAGCACCAAGGCAATGCCCTGGCATGCAACAACAGAGGGGAGGACCGGGAGGGCATATGGGAAGAGCTGAAGGAGCAGCCATGCATTACACCCTTCTCTTGCCTTTCTCATTCCCCAGGGTCCTGGCAAAGGAGCAGGAGAGGGGAAAACAGCAGAGGTGTGCTCAGAACAAAGAAACATACCAAGACAAGGAAACCCAGTCAACATAATACAGCCTCTGAGGCTCAAGCATTACACAACAGTAGGATCATAAGTAAGCTGGGCTCTAAAAGGCAGAGATGACACCAGAACAGGGTGAAAGCAAGAATACAGGAGCACAGAGAGTAAAAACTGATCCATCTACAGGCGGAGGATAAAAGGAGGGAGGAGAAAGGAGGAGAAAGAAGGTTATATTTTCTGGATTTGGGGTTTGGAGACTTGACTTTGATTATTTCTTTTTTCATTTTTTTTTTTTCATAAAGGATCTCACACCTGATATTCCTCGTTCCATCCATCTCGGTTCACCAAGAGCAATGAAGAAATTCTCCTGCCTTTCGTATTCCTCCTCATCTACTATCTTAACCCTTACGGTCTTCCTGTAGGGACAATAAGAAAGACAACTGTGTACAGCAGGTCAGCTGGCCGGAGGTGAAGTGGCAGCAGCAGCAGCAGTGGCGGCAGCAGTGCAGGCTCCTGGCACGCAGCCCCTTCCCTGCCAGAGCGGTGCACGTCGGCCTGCCTCTTGGACACGGGGCATCCATCACAGCTGCTCCTTAGGGAGCGGGAGAGTGTTAAAAGGAGAGGGAGCTCATGAGGAGGTGAGGAGGGAGAGAAGGAAAGGGGGAGGAGGGCCTGGCTGATGGTTAGTGGAAGGCGACTTCTGCAATGCATTTGTTTTCAGTGTCAGATGGTAATGGAAAGGGTGTCGGCTGCCTGGAAATCACCAGGGACCACCCTGAGGTACCCACTGCATTTTAGCTGGAAGATCAATTGCTTCTACTACCCTTAAAATTAATAATAAATCTGTAGAGATTCTGGGCTGGAAGCCTGAAGAGGACAGAGAGAGATGGGCATTCACAGACACATTCCCCAGTGGGGTGAAGTGGGATTCTGCCAGCAGGCTACAGCTCTGTCAACTGCAAAGGAGGCTGATAGTTCTAATTTCCATTTTTAAAATGGCACATCTTACTGCTTTTTCTTCTTGATAGCATCTTCCTTTTCCCCCTGACATGTCCCACGGGTGAAGACACAGCTTTCCCAGGGAGCAGACAGCACTGCTGGGACCTGACAAGGGACACAATGGCACTAAAATACCTCTGAGGCTCAAACAGAAATACTCTGGCCACTGGAGTGGGGCTGGCCCTTCTCTAATGGCTCCCTCCAGCACCCCTGCAATGCACACAGCTACTGTGACCCCTCAGGCAAACCGAAGTGGAGCATCAGCTCTTCCTGCCCTCCCAGAGCCGCTCCGCAGCAGCTGGACTGAGGGCTGCACAGCCTTTGCAAAGTCCTTCTCAGAAGTTATAGGAGCTGCTTCTCTACCAGGCCTTGATTCCTGTCTTTTTCTAACATGGGTCTGACCAGGACACACCACAGGACCAGGGCTGGGTGATGATCTCCTGAGACGCTGGGTATGTTTCTAGCCAGCATCTTCCCACTGACACCATAAAATTTGCTTGGACCCTAGAGTGGGCATGGCAGAAGGTCCATCTTAAGCTACCACAGAAATACAGACAAGCAGGACTGCTTTCTGTCCTTCTCTCTCTGCACCCCTGGCCACTTTGCCTCTCCTACTCCCAGCATCACTCCCCCTGCCACCCCACGGGTACCATGTGACACAGTGTGCACGCACAGCAGTGTTTAGGGCAGAGCGGTTGGAGATAGAGAGACATCAGAGGAAGAGGAGGAGAAGAGGAAGGAGATGGAAAAGAAGAGGAAAGAACGTTAATGTTAGTCTGCAGGGCCAGTACTACACCTTTTTGTAAACTCATATCCACCATGCGGGGACTCATCAGCTCAATGAAGAAATTCTTGGTTTTTTCATACTCCTCATCATCAATTACCTTGATGTGAACTGTTTTGCTGTGGATGGAAAAATAGTAAGGGTCATAAAGAGGAGAAGGGAACAGAGAAGCAAAAGTGAAGGAAGGAGACGAATGGGTGCATTAGAGAGTCAAAGTTTTCTCACCCACTGAACAAGCTCAACATGGCCCTTGAGAAAGACTAAAGCCCCACTCCTGCAAGTGATACTGGCCAATTTTCTGTTTAACCCAAAGGCATGATGGCATGCCACACCGTGCAAAGCGAAGTCAGGCAAAAATATTGCTGATTCCCCAGCAAATCAGTGAGGGGCTCAGGAGTCACCAGCAATGAGGTCTGATGGCCAGCAGGGAAGCAGGTTTCCCTCGCCCTGCTACCCACCACACACACACACACACACACACACACACACACGCACGCAAAAGCAGATACACAAGCACACACACCCTGTGGGCACCATGCTGCTGCCTCCCTGACAGCAGCACACGCTGACCACACGGACTGGGAAGGACCCTGCAATCTGCAGCTCTGATATCATTCATGTCAGAGGGAACCCTAGGTGATGAGGGTTTATTAGCATCATCAATCTGCTCTGAGAGCTGCTGGCTGCTGGAGCAGTGGGGCAACATATCCTACATCTCTCCTTCAGCAAATTTCTTACAAGTTATTGAAGCATTTTGCAGAAGAGCTCATTGTGCTGTGGTTTCCTCTCATGGCAAATACATGCCTTATGCAGAGGTCCCCATCCCTTGGCTTTCACACACAAACAGAACAAGGGAAATGAGTTGAAGGCGCTGCCAACCTGATGCCTCCTTTCTGCTAGGGTTGCACTGACTGTCATGGGATGAAAGTGACCCCTGCTCTCCCTTCACTTTCTTGGTGGCTGCAAGGCTTCATTGCAATCTCACCCCTCACTTGTGACAGGAGGGGTTGATGTTTTTATTCTGGGCTGATCACACACCCTCTTAAATGCAGCACTGTTTGCACATGCGTTGATGAGCCCATATGATTACATACTGGTATAAATGCAACTGCTCTAAACAGGCATGTGCTTGCCACCTTGGGGCTCCTGGACTTCCAGTCAGACTCAACCCTAATCTGGAGCTGCATTTTTTAGACAAAACTCCAGTTCCATACAGAACACATTTCTCTTACCCCAAAACATGTGCCCCGATAGCCACCAGGCCAGCTGCCCCTCCTGCCAGTGAATACCCCCCTGCTTCCCACAGCTCTGTACCCATGCATAGCCATGTGACTGTGACCTCCCCTTGATCCCTGACCATCCTCAGCATTCAGATCATGCTGTGCACAACCAGTCTTGGCTGGGGATTGAAAAGAGGCGAAAAGCCGGACTGGCAATCACAGAGTCTGGAAAAATAGCCCCAAGCTTCAAATACCTATGCCCTTCATCCAGTAGCTCTTGGCACTTCAGAGAATGAGCAGTCCAGCCCTGTATCCTGGGGATGCTGCCACTGCCAGAAACCCCCTGAAAATCACCATTTCGCAATGGAGAATAAGAGAGTCAATTAATTGTCGTCACTGCAGCTTGCATTCCTACTGATACCGTTAATGACCAGAAAATTATCCAGTCATCCTACAATTTGATCCTCAAGTCATAACTGCTCCTGGAGTTTGACTGTGGAAATCCCATTCCCTGTACTGGCTCTTCTTTTGGTCTTAGTCCCAAAACCTGTCTTTCAACTGATGGCATACGGGATAGAGGGAAGACTTTGGACAAGCTCTGTTATATTCATCAGTGCAGGAATATGCAAGAAAAATTGCCTCCCATTCTTCTTTCTAAGCTAAATCAGCTTTATTTTTGTCAGTGCTTGCTCTAACCATACCCTGCACTAATGCTAGCAAGGCTCCATTCCCTGCTCTAGACCCTTTCAGTCTTCACTAATCCAGCCTGAAGGATGTAGGATTTTACATAATACGTCTCCAGTGTAAATGTTGGTGCTCTGCTAAAGCTTCATTGGGATGATTTTGTTGCATTTTCATTTGAGAGATTGACTGAGTTTGGCTTTTGAACCAGGTGTTGTGTGGTGATACTTCGGAAAGCTTGTTCGATTTGCTGAGTTAAACCTCCAGCTGATTCACAGCTCTGAGCTTTTCCTTGCTCATACACTACAAAACAAAAGGTGGGATTTTCAAAGGCAGCCTGTGCTTCCTGAACATGGGTTACTTTTTAAAATCCTATTTGTAATTACCGTTGCTTATGTTTTTTTCCATTCTAGGAGCTCCAAATTACTCAGTATTGTTTGTCTGCAAAAATGTGGAAAATAACCCCACAGACCCTGTTTCCCAGGAGCCAGGTTCTGTACCATGACAGAGCTATTCTCAGACTTCATGCAGTGAGTATCACACATGCACACCATTTGAGTTTGCTTTCATACAGCAACTGTCCTTTTTTTTTCCTTCCTTCCTTCTTTGCTTCCTCCCTCCCTCCCTCCCTCCCTCCCTCCCTTCCTTCCTTCCTTCCTTCCTTCCTTCCTTCCTTCCCTCCCTCCCTCCCTCCCTGTGGCTCTCCCATCTCCATGAGTGGTGTGTGCATGTACCAGAGCAAAGAAGAAATGCTTGTTTAATGAGAGGGAGTGCCCGGCCAATGATCTCCCCAGCCATGGGCTCTGTGTATGGAAAGCCCCTTACTGGTGCAATGAATACTCAAACCTGTGAAGGAATAACGACTCTTCTACCTGGCTCTGAAACAAGAAGTGAGGGACAGAACTTCCATAGACCAGAGCCGCAGGTGCCTTACACCCCTTGCCCAATCCGACTGAATCACAAAAGAGGATGTGCCCAACCACCTCAGCTTTGCTGAGGGGCTGTGAGTGCTCAGCAGGTCTACTGCAGCAGAAAAGCTTTGGGGACCTAAACGTGTGAGGACCTAGGAGCACAGAGGTGTGGGCTGCGTGGCAGTGGGAACCTGTGGTGGGGTGGTGCTGGATGGAGGGCTCCAGCCAAACCACAGCCACTGCCCACTCTTGCTCCAGAGCCAGTGCAGTGCCAGACCTCCCTGTGCAAGGAGAAAAGGAGTGTCCTTGTCCCAGCTGTCCCACACAATGGCCAGGGCTGATGGAGGGTGACTGCTGTGGCCCATCAGGCCACCCCTCACAGCATGCTGTGGATGGTGGGGGCTGCCCTTTTCCAGGCAGCCTAGCCACTGCAAGCATCTCTGTTCTTTCCAGGACTATGAAAGCAACCATAACTACAGCTGCATCCTGAGCTGTCATATATTGTCTGGAGGCCAAAACTCAGATTGCTCCTCACAATCTCATCTCTTACCTACAGCCACACTGAGAGCTACCTCCTCAGAATGCATGGAGAGTAGAGGAGATGGATGGGGAGAAGGGCTGGAATGTAACACTGCCCTGGGAAGACATCACGTTAATGTGAGAGATGTGACAGGAGGACACCGAGAGGCAGAGAGAGTGCAAAGCAGAAGGCTTGGGAACATTTTGCTGCAAGAACATCCTGACAGTTTCTTGAAATTAATGGAGGCAGAGGCAGACATGAGAGGGGCTGGAGGCGCAGCAGCCCTGACAAGCATGCTCAGTGCAATGGAAAATGAGAGATCTGAAGCCCACCTTGTTCAGCCAAGGAGCTTTCATTCCCCAGCCTCTGGTTGCCTTCCATGAGGAAAGGATGACACTTCTTAGCTTTCCCTTTTCTCTCTTGAGCTTGATCACAGCCAAGACATAACTCAGCTTGAAAGCAGAGAACAACAGGAGCCATTCAAAAGCCTCTTCTGGCAGCAAAAAGCCACTCTGCGATCCACAAAACCCCCACCACCAAGCCACAGCACAGTCCGATCTCAACCCCTGCATGGGTACACTGGTGGGAAGAGCTCTTTAATCCAGGCCTCGGTGTTTTCAGCAGACTGGGCAATGCTTTCTGTTTGGGCTAGGACACAACAGGGCAAGCCAAGAGCCAGGGTTCCCAGGGAACATGTGGCCATACAGAAGTCATGATAGCTGCTTTTTCTCTCCTTTTTCTCTGGGCTTGTTGCTGAGCTGCCCTCAGATAATGTCAGTCAGGACTCTCCTTTCAACATGCACTTAATGAAAATCAGTGGGTTTAAAACTTAGGGATGGGAAAGCTCCTCTATGGAGCAACATTAAGTAGGAGATTTCCCTGAGCAAGCAACAGAAGATGAAATGAATAGACATCGATCTTTTCCTAAAGGACTTTGTGCACATGATGTTGCTAAATTCCCCATCTGGGAAGTACAGAGGATAATCTGTAAAATCATTTTATTTGACAACATGTCCACTTCCAATGCATAAAGCAACAACTGGATGGTTATTTGATTAATGTGCTAGAAAATATAGAGTATCTCTCTGTGTGGAAACTCTCATTTGCAGAAATTATTGCTGAGGATGTTAAGAGGATATGTCTGCGTGACTTTGGAATGTGAAATAAGGCTCAGCATTAAAAACAGTGTAAGTCAGGAGATGTCACATAGTGTACAACACTGAAACAGGGCTGTGCAAGGGCAGGATTTACAGTCCCTGGTGGGATGCTCTTAGCCAGCGTGGAAAATAGCCAGGACAGCAAGGTAATCACCCCTGGGACAGTGAGAAGTACCAGGAGATCTTTAGTAACTCATTAATGTGAATCATTAGTACATACACTTTGAGTCAAGCCACGGTGTTCTTGACATATCTTGATATATCCAAATCCACATCTGATTTGCTGTAGCTGCAGGTCTTTGTGGCATGAAGTTCAAGCAGATCGTACCAGCCTGACTCTTACCCAGAGCTCTGCACTGGGCTGGGGTGTCAACATGAAACTACAGATAAGACCTATTCGCTCTGCCAGAAAATCTCATTGAGAAGTCAGCAGAAATGCTGACTAGGTAATATGCCAACATTTGAGGGGCTTAAATAAGTCTATGCACAGAGGGGAGCTGTCTTTGCCCAGCTCAACAGAGGAGATTTCCCTGAGGGGAGATATTTAACAGAGCAATGTGACAGTGCTGGCCTGCAAGGTAAAGAAGCCAGCAAGAGAAGCCCCGATATGATGGGCATGGTCATATGGAG